GCATTAAACAAACAACAACATTTGGCCTTTGGACTTTATCCTTTGCTTTCCTGACATCAGTCTATTGCATCTAAGCTGAAGATCGCACTGAGCATGACTTCTAATAGTTTTGTGTATGAAGGTGTTTATTTCTTTACAAATGTAGTAACACCTGAAGATATTATCTCCATCAGAGATGAATTTGTGGTGAGAGATGAAGATATCATTACACTTTCTTACCCAAAGTCAGGTAAGGAGGCCAGACTTATTGTCTGAGAGAGGGGTTAAGATAGGTGTGATGTTAGCAGACTTAAGGTAGAAATCAGAGAGAATGCTTAACACAGCTTTATTAAGGGGGGGGTGCGGAATAGGGGAGCCCCCGGGTGAAGTTCCTCATTCTGGGGCACAGAATGGGGAAGTCACACTGTGAACTTATTGGGGAGGGTTTTTATAATAGAGTTTTAAGCGGGGGGACATTCCCCTCTGACTTACGATCCATCTGCCAGGCAGGCAAGGCTGTTTGCTCTTCTTACCAGCGGCAGAGAAGGCCATCAGCATTTGAATGCTGAATTCTTCATTCTTCTCTTTGGCCCCCTTGTCCAGACTTAACTTCCCAGCCTCTTTAGTGATAAAAGAGGATTGACATATCTTTCTTTTGGCTGCTTCCTGCTGAACAGGGGCAAAGATTTGGGAGTTTGGAGGCTGGAGTGAGTCAGTCTGGGATTAGCGGCCAGGGGAGAATGAAGGTGGTCATTTCCTTGATCCTGTGAAGTAAGAACTTAAAGAAACGTGGAGCGATTCGTAACAATGTGCTTATGATTACTATTGGTTTTAGAGAAGCAAGAATTTATGATAGAAATGGGTTTTTTAGTTAATTTTGGAGAAGGCTTGCGGTTGAATTCTGTATGGAATCTTATTACTCTAAAAGTGTTGTTCTGGTTCTGCTACAGCGTGCTTGTTTATGTTAACATTGTGTATACAGTTCTCATGTTCTAATGCACAGGGTGCTTGGTACAAGAGGGCTTAGTCTGCTTATCAGGCTCTGGTTTTTAGCAGTGAATGTGTTCTTGAATGGAGAAGTGAATGTGTTCTTGAATGGTGGAATACTCAGTTTGGGCTGATGGAATGGCTTGAGGTGTTTTGGTGGAGTGTGGTCTAGAGACATTGATTGGTACTGCAGCTAGCAAGGGTCGTTGTAAAGAGACATACAGGGAACAGTGGGAAAGGTTGGTTATCATCTGACTTTGGTTAAAGAATAGTAAGGGGCTCTGGATAATTTGGACCCAGGTTGGGGTCTGCGTAGTTTGTGACTTCCCAGAGACTTGTTCTATTATGATCTGCTCAGCCTGGGAAATGTTATTGGAGACCTGCACTTGGATATAGGCATCTAGAGCATATTTTCTGCTTACGTGTATTGTGCTGGAGTTCAAGGATTTCTATTTAGTAGGATATTGTTGTTTGTTTGTATTTTGTATTTTAACTTTAGCTTGCTACCAGGCTTTTTAGGGTTTGAGATATAAAGGTAAAGTTGGAGTTTGTTTTGTTTAACAGAAAACTATGGTATTATAAATGCTAGGAATTTTGCTTGACTAATATGGACAACTTGTATTTCTTTTTTGTTATTTTGGTAGTATGAGTGAATTTGGTTATATACAGGAAGTAAACAAAGGATCGTTTATAGGATGAAACTGCTTTAGGTGATATTGAAATAGTGACTGTTACTTGGTATCTTTGGTGAGAGAAAGCTGAGATAATGAGGTGTTTGGTGGGAGCAGACTGCTGTGTGGAAGTTTTTCCGGGCTTGAGCGCTGAGTGAGATGAAGAGTAATACGGCTTACCATTCAAGAGGTGTAGAAAACTTGCTCAGTGAGAGGAGCATGTTTGACTTGAGGACGGTGCTGTTCATGGGGGTTACTTATGACCTTAGGAGCTGTGGGGGTGGTCAGGACCACTGTATAAGGTTTGTTTTAGCGTGGTTGGAGAGGCTTGGGTGCACGCTGTCTGATGAGAATGGCGTCTTTTGAAGTAACTTTGGTGACTTGGTCTAGACTTTTAGGTGAGAGTCTGGGGATGAAGCTGTCTGAGTGTTTTTAGAGTAATTGTTTCTGGAGAGAGAGAGAGATCAAGTATGACGCTAAAAGAAGGGCTTTGGCAAGTAAGTTATGTTTCAGCAGAAGCAGTTGGCCTAAAATGTGATCTATTCTCAAGAATATTCCAAGCATATTGGAGAAGAAGGTCTACTGTACTTTT